CCCACACACACACACACACATCACCCCACACACAAACACATCACCCCACACACAAACACATCACCACACACACAAACACATACACTGTACCCCTCAATGCAGTGTGTGTATTTAGCAGTCTGTGTGTGTGTACACTCAGCAGTCTGTCTGTGTGTGTGTGTGTGTGTGTATTTAGCAGACTGTGTACTCAGCAGTCTGTGTGTATTCAGCAGTCTGCTAAATACACATACAGACAGACTGCCGAGCACACACACAGATGTTAATTAGTTCGGACAACTGTATGAGTTGTTTTTTCTAAACTTAAACCTCAATATTCAGGTTTAATTGCCGTTTTGGCACTTTGAGGGAAAAAAAAATTGGCATGTATTACGGTTTGGGCACTCGGGCTCAAAAAGGTTCGCCATCACTGGTGTAGACTATATCGACAGATGTGCCATATGGAAAGTGTCATTCATCTTTGTATCACTGATATTTTTAATAAAACCTTTCACAAAAATAAAAAAAAAACCATTAAAAAAAAATGTAAAAAAATCAGACACACCAAGAATTCAGAGTTTACTCAAAAAATAGGGACATTAGGATAGAAAAGAGGGACAGAGGGATTTGGGCCCAAAATATGGACTGTCCCTGGTAAATAGAGACACAAAGTATGTACAGCTCCTCCAGCTCCCAACTACCGCATTCTGGATCCCAGGTAAGCCACCCTCCTGAACCCACAAGGTAGGAAACAGGAGGTTGGCTAGAAAAGTGTATATTTTGATCAGCCTGTTCTCATTGCTTTGTAAGTTTGTGTCCCTGTCCCCGACAAGGTCCATGTGGGCGTACACCTTGCTTGGGGATTGTCATAAAAGGCCAGTGTGGCACCATTAAAATTGAGTTCCTGCTTAACCCTCAACACATAGCCTCGTCTCGTGATTGTAGGGAACCTGCTATACAGCTATACCACTAGCTCTTATAAGAGCTTTACAGCTATACTCTCTTGGAGGAGAGGCCTGCCCACTGAGTCCCTGGATCAAGGAGTTTGGTCCAGGACGGGAAGGGACGGCGAAACCCCCAACCAAGCTGCAGCGGTTTGTAGGGTCTACGGTGCTTAAGTGTCCGGTGCTTACGGTCCTCAGCGTCAGCTAGGAAGCATCGATTGGCGGAGGTAACCAGTCGAGGTGCCAGGCGGTCCGTCACAACTACACATAAATGCATGCTTGCATTCAAACGCAAACACTACATACAAACACACCCCTACATTCACACAAACATACTCCATACAAAAACATGCTTACATTCAAACACACAAATACTGCTCGGTGCTAAATACAATCCTGCAAGCATGGGGAATCGCTAGAGCCCCAGCTTTCAAAGCATTGTTGAAGCTGCACAACAGATGGGAATCTATCTTTTAGACACTCTGTGTACATACACAGACAGTCATACAGAGACATACAGTGCACCTGTATGTGTAGATTGTATGACTGTGCTTGTTTGATTGTGTGTCTGTATATCTTTGTGACTGTGTGCCTGAATAACTATGTCTGTGTGCTTGTATGGTTGTGTGTCTGTATGTTTGTGTATTTGTGCATATATGTATTTTTTCCTGTGTATGTACAGTGGCGTACATACCAGGGTTGCAGGGGTCGCAGCTGCGACCGGGCCCGGCCCACCGGTATGTACCCACAGGGCCAGCCTCTTCCCCTGGGGGACCCAGCAGCCGACCACCCCAGGGCCCCCCGAGGCTGGCCCTGCTGTCACACACACACTCCTGGGCGGGTGGCCGGTCGGGCAGGTAGGCGGGCGTGCGAGGGAGCACTCAGTGCTTCCTGAGTGCTCCCTCGCGCGCCCGCCTGCCTGCCCGACCGGCCACCTGCCCAGGAGCCCAGCAGCACCACTGGACCCCAGGGAATCCCCCCAGCACTCCAAAAGGTAAGGAGGCTGGGGGGATTAAATTTAAAAAAACAAAAAAACATGTGTGAGTGAGTGTTAGAGTGAGTGTGAGTGTGTTAGAGTGAGTGTGAGTGTTAGAGTGAGTGTTAGAGTGAGTGTGTTAGAGTGAGTGTTAGAGTGAGTGTGAGTGTTAGAGTGAGTGTTAGTGTTTGAGTGTGAGTGTTAGAGTGAGAGTGAGTGTTAGAGTGAGTGTTAGTGTTAGTGTGAGTGTTAGTGTGTGTGTCTTAGTGAGTCTGTTTGATGTCTGTTAGTGAGTGTGTGTTTGTCAATGAGAGTGTATGTTTTGTAAGTGAGTGTGTGAGTGTGTATGTATGTCTGTCGCTGAGTGTGTCTCTGTCAGTAAATGTGTGTGTCTGTTAGCTAGTGTGTATGCGTCTGTTCGTGAGAGTGTGTGTTTCTTCAGCACTTACCTTTCTCCAGCGCCGGACTCCCTTGGCGCTGGGGATCCCTCCGCCTCTCAGCTCCGAATGAGACCGCCAAGATCACTTCCATAGGAAAGCATTACTCAATGCTTTCCTATGGACGCTCAGTGTGCTCCTCTAGTGGCTGTCAGTGAGACAGCCACTAGAGGCTGGATTAACCCTCAGTGAAACATAGCAGTTTCTCTGAAACTGCTATGTTTTCAGCTGCAGGGTTAAAACTAGAGGGACCTGACACCCAGACAACTTCACTGAGCTGATGTGATCTGGGTGTCTGTAGTGGTCCTTTAAAGGACCACTATAGTGCCAGGAAAACATACTCGTTTTCCTGGCACTATAGTGCCCTGAGGGTGCCCCCACCCTCAGGGACCCCCTCCCGCCCGGCTCTGGAAGGGGGAAAAGGGGTAAAACTTACCTTTTTCCAGTGCTGGGCAGAGAGCTCTCCTCCGGACCCTCCCCGCCGGCTGTGGCGCGCACGCTACGCGCCAGGCCAAGCGCCGCTGCGATTCAGTCACTACATAGGAAAGCATTCATAATGCTTTCCTATGGACGCTGGCGTGCTCTCACCGTGAAAATCACAGTGAGAAGCACGCAAGCGCCTCTAGCGGCTGTCAATGAGACAGCCGCTAGAGGAAATAGGGGAAGGCTTAACCCATTCATAAACATAGCAGTTTCTCTGAAACTGCAATGTTTATGAAAAAATGGGTTAACCCTAGCTGGACCTGGCACCCAGACCACTTCATTAAGATGAAGTGGTCTGGGTGCCTAGAGTGGTCCTTTAAGTATGTGTGCATCTGCATGCACTGGCGTACATACTGCGGTCGCAGGGGTCGCAGCCCTGTAACCCCTGCGACCAGGTGCCCACCGCCATGTGTTGCGGCATGGCCCGCGCGCCGGGGGGGGCCCACGGATCAATTTTCGCACCGGGGCCCCATGGGTCATGTGTACGCCACTGCGTATGTATATATATATATATCTATATGGGAGATAGATAGATAGATAGATAGATAGAGGCTGGGAGGGGGGAGTGAAGGGGGGATGGTAAAGATAGATAGGGGCTGGGACTAAGAAAGAGACACAAAGGGGCTGGCGGGGAAGTAAGAAATACATGAGAGGGGTTGTAAGAGACACACTAAAAGGGGTTGTAAAGCACAAAGGGGCAAGACATTCAAGAGAGGGGATATGAAACACTAATGGGGGTAAGAAATTCAAAAGAGGGCTACGAGACACAAAAGTGAAGATGTATTTTTTTGGGGGGGGAGAGGGGGTAGCAAAATGCATCTTCGCCTGTGTAGTCCTTGCACCGGCCCTATACACACACCGACATACAGATACACACACACTGACACAGACACTCATACTCCTGTTAGATTACCTTTGTCTGCTGGAGGGTGGCTTGCTCTGTGTTGGCTGAGGCTGATGGGAGTGAGCATGCAGTAGCAGCTCACTCCAGCCTCTCTTCTCCCTCCATGCTGCTGTGAGGCTCTGCTGCCTCTTCCCTCCAGTCCTCCTCTGAAGTTCTCTGTAAAGCAGGTAGAAAGTGACAGGCTGACATCACTTCCTCCCTGCCAGCGGATAGTCTGCTCTTAGAGGGACACTCCAGGCACCCAGACCACTTCTGCCCATTGGAGTGGTCTGGGTGCCAACTCCCACTACTCTTAACTATTGCAATTTTCATAATAGACAGCCACTAGAGGGCATTTCCTGGTCTATAGCACAGGTTTTCTGTGCTATAGCGTTGCTGGACGTCCTCACGCTATGTGAGGACCTCCAGCGTTGCTGAAATCCCCATAGGAAAGCATTGAAATCATTGCCTTCAGTTCAGCTACTCTCGCATAATTTGAAATTCACATTGAATTCACTTCAAATTCTAACTTTAGTGAATAACTTGCATGTATTTTGCCCTAGATTAGCAACTAGTATGCCTTCATAAATATGAACCTGCAATATGCTAACGAAGTCTCGTTAAGCTTATCAAAATAACCAAACATTGTTTATCTTTACTGTATTTGGTGATCTCCTGTTACCAAGCGATTAATATGGATTATTTGGTAATCCCATGTCTTATTATAGCAGGCTGACCAGATGTCCCAATTTTCAGGAGTTAGTCCCTTAACAGTGATACTGTCCCCTGGTCAGATATGTCCCTGATTATGGATGTAATGTTATATTTATGCTATTAAGTGTTAAGAATGTGTTTATAATTCCCACATAAATTAATTAAATGCAAAACCTCGCAGACCAGTGTACAGAGCCTAATGTTGTTAATGTACTGTAATTAATATAAAAAGTGCAGTTCTACTCTATATATCTCACATGACAATGTTGTTATTTCTCTTGTCGTGTAGTATCTTGTAAAATGTTTCTGCAAACATGCTTGTTAAACTATGCACTACAAAAATAAAGATTGTAAAAAATGTTTGTTTGTTTTTTACAAATGTACTCTAATTAGGACAGTATATTGGGATGTGATTAATATGGTAGATTTAAGCTGCATACATTTTTGTATTTAGCATTAGATATAGGGAGAATTTAGGAGACAGGCAGACATATATAGGTGATGTGAAGTAATATTGTGTTTTCAGGCGCTTAAGAAAAAAATATTTTGTGTGAGCTGCTACCACCGATGTGTAATTCTCTCACTACTTAACACAGAAATACAAAGTATGGCAATAGACTGTGTGGTAAAAACCAAAACCAGTCAGAAAATGGAGTGCTGAGGAGATGTGTGTCCCCCCTCTCCTTCTTGGGTTTATTATAACCTAGAAGTGGGGGTTAAAATAAAACTACAATAGTGTAATACTGTAAGATAATAATTAAGTGATGTGAAAGCGTATAGAACCACTCACTTGGTGCTGAGCCTCAACAGGAAAGGCTCAATTGGTCAGACGTGTTTTGGTAGGTAACACAAATCAAACAATGGATGAAAAACTTGTGGATCCTTTAAAAACAGAAGAAGCCAAGCATAGTGTAGTATGCAGGTGAATAGTGGTTGAAATGGTGAAGTATATAAAACTGCTCACCTGATTCAGAGCCTATATTTCTGGCTCTGAGTATAATGGTATAAGTACCACTAGGGGGGTACCAAACCCTGTAGATGAGATCAGGAACACTACTTGCGTCCAGATGGAAAGTATAAAAATAAAATGTATTAATTCTATACAAAGTAAAATAACTATAGTAAAACAATGATTAAAATTATAAGTTCAATCCTCGTCGACGTCCGAGACGCGTTTCGCCGGTGGGCTTTATCAATCGGTGTGTGTTCCTGTGTGTAGCGGTACTTACCTTACCCGGGGGCCGGCCGAGGTCCTCACTTCCCGCCGCGCACGGCTCTCGAATGAAGGCGGGCACGGACTGCGAGATGCGGCCACGTGTCCCGCCTAGCTCTAAGAGCGTGCCGCGCGTCTCAGGCACGCTCTTAAAGGGGCAGTGGGAGCCAAAAGATGAAATGTGCTCCCATTGGCCCCTGTCATCCCACATTCCCCAGACACTCACATTTCGGGGGCGTGGATATGACAGGGGCCAATCAAAGTAAAGTTTAGGGTATTTATACTTACCTCTCCCTTAACTCCCTGCCCTATCGTGGTTTCTGTTTCAGTTCCCTTTAGCGCTTGTTGTGTTCAGTTGTGATTTTCGTGCTTGACCTTGGCTTTGTATCTGACTCCGCTTATCTCTCTATCCCTGTTTTGTCTTGTTTGCCGGCTTACTGACTACTGTGTACCAGACCTTGGCTAGTTTTTGTTCTCGCTGTCTCTTTGTTCCCTTGACCTCGGCTTGTTCTTGACTCTGTCTATTCTCTGCTATACGGCGAGTCCGGCCATTCTAAGGTCCGGTAAGTCGTATCTGCTCTATCTGTCGATTGTTGGACTAAATCTTGCGTGTAGGGGTAAACTACCGTGACACTGTGTTTCCGTTCTCCTTTTATGTCCGAGAGAAGGCTCTGTGATTGCGGGTTGATCGCGGCTGTGTTCCGCTTTAATCACTTCCGCTTTCGTCATCATTCAGTACGGTCGCTTTTTCCATATCCATATATGGGTGAATCGGTGATCGCCATATTGGTTGAGGGCAAAGCAGTCTATATATGTACATTCACAATATCGTTTCTCATATAGAGTAACGATTAAAAAACGAAAACAAACCATGGAAAGATATGATTAATATCATATTGAATGGCAATAATATCAACAGTTTAAGTAATTACAACAACGTTTTAATTATAACTTTACAATGTGACACCATTTGAAAAGGAGTTGTTCTTGTTAACATATAGTTAGTTTGAAGAAAGAACAATATTGTGACTTATATTTTAACTCTTTCAGTAGATATACTTATAATTATAATTTATATCAGCATTAGATTCTTTTTGGACTAATAAATTAGATTGAATTGATGTTGTTTATATAATATGCCAAATTATTCATTAAACTAATAAAGAATCTAAAGACCCTTTAGAAATACAGATAAGAGTGAATGAATTTTAACAGAGTTAATGGTATTATAATTCCTCTATATTTAGTCAACATTCTTGATTGGGCGCTTTCAGCAGATAGGTGCCATCGGGTTTCACACCTATCTTCTGATTGGATTTCTTTGGATTGGGCGCCGAAACTCCTTCCTCCTCTGAATGCTGATTGGTGCGATTTGGTTCACGCCCTTTCAGCTGATTGGTTGTTGCTTGGTTTAGGTGCAAAGTTTGAATTCGCCAGACTAAACCAAGCAATGCCATGGAACTAATTTTGGGGATGTACAGAGCCTCGAGCCCCAGACCTTCAACGATGATATCTTGGCTCTGTACATCCGAGCACCACGCTTTTTACAGGGATCCTAGGGGGGACCCCGGGCTATTCATGGTGTTGGATGGAGACCCCTTGTGGGGGTCTGTGCATAAAAAGCTGTGTGCCCAAATAAAGATTGTCAAAAGGAACTGTGTGCCGTTCAGTTACTGGGGAAATGGGGAAATGGGTCTGACCTATTATTACTAAAGGGAATAACCAGCCAGGTTACGCAGGTCCCGCTACAATATGTATCACTGGTAAAAAAAAAAAGTCTTCCTGAGAAAAATTATTTTAATTGGGATGCAGTAACTATGTCTTCACAGACGCAAACTTCTAACAAGCTAATATCACTGTGTGAAGCCTATTAGCTGTGTATCTTGGACGCAAATGGTAAACCTCAAGTACTTCAGCTGCTGTTGATTGTGTTCTCCAGAATGTCCAGCTAATGGGAAACATGGAGTTTATTCAATAAACTTGGAATTGTGAAGAGTAAGCAACGCAGCAGTACTGGTAGAACTTTTTTAAAAGCTGTGGCAGATGTGCCATTATTGACTTATGTTGACCATATCTCAATGCTTTGTAGGCATGCTTAAATTGCAGAGCTTAATTAAAATCATTGTTTTCTAGAAAAACACATTTGACTTATTTCCTAGTTAAATGGACAGTATGGACACCATATTTATATCAAAAAATAAAACATTTTCTTTTTACTTACTTTATTCATGAAAGTGGGACTTTCAAATTTGAGGAACTAAACTGAAAACATAGCTGATTATATTTCCATGTTTTTCCACTGTGAAATTCACTTTATATCTTTAAATTCCCATGAATTTACACTTTGTGAATAACACTGCTAGTATCAAATTTTACAGTAATAATTACATGTGTGCATGTTGAGAAAATGTGGCTTGGCTGAACAATTTTTCATCAAAATATACATTTTTGTTTGACATCCAAATTCCATCCATATGTTGGTTTAGCTTAGCAGAATTTCAGTTCTGAGTTTCTAGGTCTGATGGAGGATGATCCTGTGTTTATAAAATATAAACAGAACACATGTCAATATAGTGTAGTATGCTGGTAAATGCAGAAATGGCTAGTATTATACATAGACATGCACTCACATTTTATAGAGCCCATAAGTGGCTCACAACAAATAACGTGGAGTTCCATGATCCTCACTCTGTGGATATATCTTGTAAAGATGGTCGTGCTGTTAAAGGGCACAGTGGCCCTTTCATAGCATGACCGGGTCCCTTTTCAGACATACCATTGGGTGGCCTAAGCACTAAGTGCCCTACAGCTTGCGAGCCCCGGTAGATCCGACGCTGTGTTTGGCTGTGCTTGTGATTTGGATACATTTTGGCTTTCTGTTCATGAATATACACTGATCAGTCACAACAGTAAAACCACTGGCAGATGAAGAGATGGCAGCAGGATGCACTATGGGAAGAAGGCAGGCTGGCAGAGGTTGGGAAACTTTACTCCTGGCATTCAAGGTGTATACCCCTTCATTGCAGTGGCTTCTTTCAGCTTGATTATGTACCCAGCCACACTGCAACAAATGTTAGGGATGGTTTGAGGAACATGACAAAGAGTTTAAGGTGTTGCCTTGGCCTCCAAATTTCCAAGATCTCAATCCAATTGAGCATCTGTGGGATGTGCTGGACCAACATATCCGATCCATGGAGGCCCCACCTTGTAACTTGCAGGACTTGCGCTGCTAATGTATTGGTACCAGATACCACATGACACGTTCAGAGGTCTTGTGGAGTCCATGCCTCCATGTATCAGAGCTGTTTTTGCAGCACGAGGTGGACCTATATGACATAGGCAGGTGATTTTAATGCTGTGATGGATCATTGTAAATATATATATATATATATTTGTGTTTGGGGCAACATCGGTTTTGATTCAGTTAAAGGACCACTATAGGCACCCAGACCACTTCAGCTCAATGAAGTGGTCTGGGTGCCAGGTCCATCTAGGGTTAACCCTGAAGCTGTAAACATAGCAGTTTCAGAGAAACTGCTATGTTTACATTAGGGTTAATCCAGGCTCTAGTGGCTGTCTCATTGACAGCTGCTAGAGGCGCTTCCGCGCTTCTCACTGTGATTTTCACAGTGAGAAGACGCTTGCATCCATAGGAAAGCGTTGAGAAATGCTTTCCTATGGACTAATTGAACGCACACGCGGGTGTTGCCGCGCATGCACATTCATGGCAAGAGGGAGGAGAGCCCCCCAGCGCTGAGGGAGCCCTGCGCTGGATAAAGGTAAGCGTTTAACCCCTTCCTCCCC